AACCCCAAGCCCTACACCCTAAACCAGGAACCTCTACATCAGAGCCTCGGAAGGGCGAGGAGTCCCCTTCCGCCTTGAAGCCCCGGCGGCGGAGCCGGATGGCCCTTTGTGTCCATCAGTAATAGATTTTTTCATTTTAGGGCTTGGGGGTTTAGGGTTTAGGGTTTGAGGTTTAGGGTTTAGGGTTCTATTTGGGTCCATCAGTAGTAGCCCTTTTTCCCTTTTAGGGCTGGGGGTTTAGGGTTTAGGGTTCCATTTCTTGGGGTTTAGGGTTTAGGGTTCTATTTGGGTCCGTCAGCAGTAGCCCTTTTGCCCTTTAGGGCTGGGGGTTTAGAGTTTAGGCTTTAGGGTTCCATTTGGGTCCGTCAGTAGTAGCCCTTTTTTCTCCTTTGTTGTTAGGAGTGCTTGGGGTGTTAAGTGTTAAGGTTTAGGGTTTCCCTATTCAAGCTGACTCCTAAGTTATAAGCCGTAGAGTCTAAACTGAATACTGCTGACAGGGGCAGTTGCCCTTTTCGGTACTTGGGTTTAGGATAGTAGATCGTAGCTTTGTAGGTTAGGATTTGAGAGAGTCGATGGTTCATACGGGTGCCGTACTTTTTTTAGAAACTAAAAAGGGTCCCTAGTCAGAGAAGTCACCAACGACTATCAGGCACCTGGACCCAAAGCTGGATACCCTAAAACCCTAAATCCCTACACCCAAAACCCAAACCTTAAACCCCTAAAGCCCTAAACCCTAAACCCTCATAGATCCCTTATAGATCCCTTTAAAGGACCCTTTAAAGGACCCAGCTACCCGGGGCAGAGCCAAGGTGCCAGGCTGCTTCAACAACCCCGGCGCGGGAAGCCCGGCGAGGGCGCTGCCAAATTGGAGGCCACGTTGATCCTGGGTTTAGGGTCTAGGGTTTTTAGGGGTTTAGGGTTTAGGGGTTTAGGGGTTTAGGGTTAGGGGTTTAGGGGTTTAGGGTTTAGGGGTTTTAGGCTAAACGGGCTTCCTTAAAAGGGCTTCCATAAGGCACTATGAGGGTTACCATAGTGATTTAGGGGTGCAGGGTTTAGGGTCTAGGGACTTCTTCATCTCGTGAGGCTTCGAGTGTACAGTGTAAAGAGAATACTCATTTTTGGGCTTTGAAGTCGACTTTGCGCTAAAAGGGTGAACAACAACAATTAATCCTGGTATTGAGGGTAATGTAGCGATCTGAGTACTCATCAGCATCATGTCTACAACTCTTTCCTTTAATTTTTCGTATGATATGTCCCAAAAACTTGTCCAATTGTTAACCAAGAGGGTCCATATA